TATATATATATATATATATATATATATATATATATATGGATGTGATGATACAAAACAACATAATTATCTTAATTCTATCGCCCTATTATTATATTAGAGAGCAAAGTATGCATAGGTATGTGATGGAAACTCGATTTATGAAGAAAATTGGATCCACGTGGATATCAGTTTTCTTCCTGAGAAATCAACCTCGAGTCGATGTGCCGTCATATGGACAAACGATTTCTTCAATCAATGTCTGGTGCGTGCAGTAATCGCTTAGATAACGATATTCCTTTGTTCAACTAGCGGATAAGATTCCGTTCCATCAAGCAATGATAGTACCTGTTGCACAGTAATGGCACTCAGATGTCATTAATTTTTTTTTTCTTCTCTTCTATTCTATTATATTTTATTTTTAAATATTAAAACTTTATTTCACGGAACATTAAAATTCTTGGATTCTATATTTTTTGATACTCAATGTATATTATTCTTATATTTGAATATTATTTTATATTTAAGTCAAAATATGCAATATGTTTTTAAATTGAATTAAATATTTTGTTTAGATTATAATAATTTTATTAAAGTTTTTCATAAAATTAGGAATATTATTTAAATATTTGCTATTTGTATGTTTTGCATATTTTTATTATCTGCCATTCATATAGTAGCGTCCTTCATTACCAACGATTTTATTTCTGTACAAATTATTACTAGTAGATGGAGTTAAGAATCCATATTTATAAAATAAAATAATCGAATTTTTTTTCTGATAAAATTTTATTTATTTTTATACTATGTTAGCATTAATTATAATTTAGTTTATTTTACGCCAATAAATACGTATTATTAAAATGCTCAAAAGTATTTTAAATATTAATTTCAATCATTTTCTTAATTTTCTTTATTGCTAAATCTAACAACAAAATCTAATAATTTTGAAATTTTTTCCGATTGAAGTTAAAGTTTATCAAGACCCCCTGTGCACAATAACATAATTTTTAAACTCTTTTACGATAATGATTTTTTTCTATTGTAAATTATTCGCAATTTCTACTTATCAGTAACGATAAAAGCTGACATTATATATACAAAATTGTATTCTCTCTTTCTAGATGTCATAAGTCTATTTGGATATATTTGATTTATTATAGTTTTAACTTTTTTAAATTATATACAATCTATATTGATGAAAATATTCAAATATCTTCACTTTACATTATTACAAAATGAAATACAAACAATATATTTCAAATTAAATTTAAAATATTTATTATCTTAATATTTTTAAAAATTAATATTATTAAAATAATTTTTTAGCAGAAATTTCAAAAACCTTATTTTATTATAATTGATACATGAAACATGATCGTATTAGAATATGCTTTAATATTCTTTTTTTTTACAAATATATTAGATCGAATCGATACGCTTTTATTTCTTGCACTATTAAATATTATTAGATATCTATTACAATCTCCTAAACAAAGATTTATATTTTTTACTTTTTTTCTGAAGATAAAAATAATCTTTTAATTTTCACTTTATATTTATTTAATTTAATTTGAATTTTATTTAGCAACTTTTTAAATAAAATCAAAGAGAATAGGTATTATTACATTCTATTGTTACACTTATCTCTTGTATTGTGTATTGTAGGAAAGTAAATAGATTTTTTAACACTTTTATAAGTGCTGATTAAAAAAAATATTTTAATTACAAGAGATAAATTCGAATATTTAGAATATCATACACATTATTAATATTAGAATCGTAACGACGCAATTCGTTCGAATTCCATTTAACGTATACATGACAATGTATGTTACATTTGCCTTGCATTTAAAATCAATAATGGATCAATAATGATCCTTGTTTGACACTCCACCGTCGGACAATCATTCGATCATTTAATCGAGCAAAATAATATTCAAAATGATATTCATGTCTTATTTGAACGAATTGCTTCATAGTTAAATGATAATTAAATACAATTTCAATTAATAAATATAAAAAATCATCTATATCATTTAGATCATAGATTGAAAGTAGTTGCAAAATCTATAATTTTAATCGACTTTTAATTGAAAGATATTGTAAATTTTGATTTTTTCAAATAATGCTTACAAAAATTAATAAATTAAAATAAATCAATATTTATGACGAAATTAATACATTTCTTAAATATATAAAAACATTTTTGTTAATTCTACTTCCAATTTTTTTGTTATAAATGATTTTTAATCATCATTCTGATCATAATCCTCCTTTGCGACAAATCATATTTAAAAATTTGAATATAAAGTCTCCAAAAGATTAACTTCCGTCCTGTAAATTTATTCAAATTTTAATTGGTAAAAATCTCAAGCAAAAAACCTTCCATTAAGATCATTTTAAATCGAATGATTCCAAGAAATATCGAACCTCTTTTTTCTTTCTTTCTAAACAAGATTTTCAAGTACAACTTTACTTCGTTTCTCGCAACTACACGGAAAACAACATCCGGGTAACGAGTTTTAGATGCACAATCGATCTGTTCCTTCGAAGTTGAACGATACCAGAGACGCCTATCTTTCAGGGCCGTGATTATTTTTAGGGAACTCTTGAGTTCGGATAGAAAATTCGCCTTGGCCAGCAACATGTTACATTACACATCAGCATGGATTAAGAAATATGCAAAATTGCCAAAAATTATATTTAGTTCTTGTTATCTGATTCCAAGATAATAACGCAGATGCAATATTAATCAATCTGAGGATTTGTTAAATTCATTCAGTCGATCACGATCCGGTATTATGACGCGTAGCAAAAATCCAGTTCAGTGAACTATACTTCGTGTCATCTTTGACGTCAACACGATTGTTTATGATAATTTATTTGATCGAAAATATTTAATCGAATAGTTAGTTTCGATCGAGGAAAGTAGAAATTGAAAGAGGAAAAGAGAGAGAATGATATTTTAAGGAAACGAATAAATAGGAAACCTAACCTGCAAGGTCAAATAGAGTTAATCGTTTTAATTCGACTTTTAATTTTTATCTTTCTTTTTTTCTAATCAAAGGAATTGATGCCATAAAAACAATAAGCTTTATACAATTCAATTCTCTGGAATAAAAATACAAAATATTTAACAAAAATACGATAAATTTCTTTGAAACAATTAAATTTATTATATAATCTCTTTTTGTTACAACCTAATTAATTTGGCAAACTGAAAATAAACCGATGTTTTGTCTATATATAACTGCGACAATTATTTGATGGTTAAATATAAATTTAATTTATTAGCATGTTATTAATCTCTGCATATGGAAGCACGACGAGATTTTACTTTAAATAAATACACATATGTTCCACTTTTATGTTTTTAAACGAATAATATAAATCTTTATACATATATATATATAAAGATTTAATTATACGCTTTGATTTTATACTTAATAAAATTATTAAAAAAAGAGAATATTTTCGCACCATTTACTATGAAATTCGAATTGGTTTTTTATTGGGTTTTATTCAAGACAAAACGATATATAAATAGTTTAGGATTATGTAATAAACAAAATATTGTAAATTTGAAATTCTGGCAGCAAATATTAGTTATCTTTAATAGTCTTTGAAAATGTTTCACGCTTTGTTATATCAAATTATTATATTTCTGAATAAAGTCTTGTTCAATTTTTTTTTTTTTTTTTTGATAAATTTTAAGATTATGCATAACTAATATATACATAATGAATTCTAATTATAAATAATAATAAATTTAATCAGTCTACAAAGAGAAAATTAACTATCTATTCTATTTATGAAGACATTTGAACAATTTCTTTTTAGATTTCAAGAATTGATTTATTAAAACTAAATGAATTTATTTAAAAAATAGCATACGTGAATGTGTTCTGTAGATACAATATGTCTATACCATTTAGATTATGACCCTCGACAAAAGTAAGGTTAAATAGGTTTACTTCTTTTAAGGAAGTGGCCTATTTTCATGACTGTTTTAATTTAATAAAAAGAGAGAAAAAATCGTCATGAAATATAAATAATAAAATAAATTAATTAATGAATTTAAAGTTAAAGAAATATATCACAATGAAAAAATCAAAAATATAAGAGCAATAAAAATTAAATTTCTAAAAATTGTTTCTGAATGAAATAAAAATTGTATTTCAAAATATGTTTTTTCTTTGTTATTAATATTATATCAATATTAAAATTACATGACGTAAATTGTCATAATCTACGTCAATATGTTCATGAATAAAAGAAAATAAATAGCATTGAAAATAAAAATTAGCGAATTTTATTTAAAACTATAATTTTTGAAAATCTATATTTCAATCTTATAATAAGTCTTCAATATAAAATATTAAAGATGGTAAAAAATGTAAATCTTTATTTAGGAAATTGTAATAAAAATCTAATATTATTTTTGTATTTCAAATATTTTACGATGAAATCATGAAATGTTTAAGCACTTAAAAATTTTAATTTTGAAATATGTATGCATTCCTTTGATATGTTTAATTGCATTTATTTATCAAATTTATTATTAAATTTTTATTATTTTATTTTATTATTATTTAATAAATTAAATTTTGTTTGTATATTTAAACTAAAATTCTTTTAATTGATATTTTCTTTTTGTAAAATATTTTTCATCAATGGAAATAAATTAACTTTAAGATTTTCATTTAGATATCATAAGATAGATTATTATATGATTTTCTTTTATATTTATATTATATTATAGATTATTTTTTTTCGATTATAACTTTTTTGATATTATTCATATTTGTATCTTCCTTTTTTGTTTCTTTTTTTTTTTCTAATCAAATTTTCTTTTTTTTTTTTTGGCCGATTAATTGCGGTTGCACAGTGTAGTGTATCAGTTCAATGTAGTTCCGTTTAGATAGTGTCACAGATAGAAATATAGAAATATTCCGACGGATTACTCGAACGATAAAACAATAACATTCACATGATTCCATAGTCCAGGCAAACTTTTATTCTTTGTAGTACATCATATGATATTAGAAGTATGTAAATGCGTATCGCAATGTAGATAAATTTACACATGTTTTATTTCCGATCAAGTTCATTCGATTGAATTTCCTTTTTAAAAATTTCACGAAGAAAACTCATTGCGAAACATTCAATTATTGAAGATTTACTTTAAGGATTTAAGCTATTATTGTATCACGCTCGAAGCATATTTCGAAGATACGATAAATTCTTAACGGAAAAAGAAAAAAAAATCATTTCGTTTAATCCGAATGTATATACTGCTTAATTAGAACGGCGAAAACCTTTTAATTGCACTGAATTGCGGCAATATTTCGATCTAATTGGCTCGAGTCGCGGGTCGAGAGAATTTAATATGAAATCGCGTTACTTTCGAGGCGATCGTGAAAGGAGGATACGATACATTTCCATCGAGATTGTACATATACTATACAGAGCCATCTGGTTGTTCAGGCTAGGCGGCTCGATTCGGGGCGGATCGTGAAACTCCGATGGCGAGACGTAGCGCAGAGACGAAGCCGCGTGATCGCAACGTGTTCGTCAAATAATCGACCGGGCTCACACGTGATTCTTACGATTCTTCTTGGTTTCTTTCCTCTTGCAGCGATAACTATGTATATACTGTAACGGGGAGGATCGTGCAAGCAATGTCTATCTATGAAAAATGTATATTCCCTTTGTCAAAAGTTTACAAAAGCGAAAAAAAAAAATTAACAAGCTTTCGCTTAATTATTTGGCTTCGATCGAATATAATTGCTCGATTTCTTCTAAAATTTCGCAATTTGTATATTATTATGTCGTTGTTACAATGGAATGAACGATTGCAATTAATTTTACTAGTTTATAATTTTAATCGATTCTCAACATGTATACTTTTTTTTTAAATCTTTTTAAAATCTTTTTAAAAATGTATTAATTTTTTTTTTAAGTATTCCAAGGATAAACAAATTTCTAATGCGAAGCATGTGAACATCTTTTAAACATCGATCTAATAATTATTTATAACTAAACGTCGCGACGCATCACCTTAGAATTTCATTACGTTGAACTATGCGGCCATCGCATATATTTTATTTTAATGTATACGGTAATTATTTAGCGTTAACCAGAGAAAGTCGATTTGCATTTCCACAGAAATTTTTAGGTTCAAACATTGTCGAGAATGCGGACCAGATGCTATGATCTGTTTTTACAGTAATATCAATACTTATATATTTGTATTATCGAAAAATATTTAAAATTCGTAAAACTTTAATGCGTTGCTCGTTTGAGATTTCGGTGTTTCCTAATTCTTTTTTTTTTTTTTATTATATATGATCCTCCTCTTATAGTCGAATAATAATTTGCAATCCCTCCTCCTTTTTTGAATTCCCAAACATTTTTAATAAAGTTAAACGTAATGTTTAATTTCTATGTAATTAAATTTTCATTATAAAATATCTTATTTTATTAATTATTTATTTATATAAATAATTATATAAATAAAAATAATTGCGGCCATTCTTTTAATGTTACTTCGCCACTCTTAAAAAATTCCTCAAAAATTATTTTCAGATATTGGTTTTCAAACACTGTAATTCGATATTAAACTTTGTGTGTCGTTTGATCGTTCGATCTCAGCCAATTCGACGAGCCAACCTAATCGATTCCATTCTTTGTAAAAACTTTTAAGAAAACAAAAGGAAGTTGGAATGTTTCGTTTTGTATTTGCGGTTTACCGCAATAATAGAAATTTATGCATCTCAGGACCATTAATTTTTTTCATTCTTCCTCGAATGACTGACTTTCCTCGATAAAAAACGCATTGCAGAATTGTTGCCGAGAGAATCGATGATTTGCGCGCGCCACTTCTCTCTCTCTCTCTCTCTCTCT